ATATGACGCTCAGGGTTGAAATGAATAGCAATAGCAATAGCAGTTAGACTTATATACCGCTTCATAGGGCTTTCAGCCCTCTCTAAGCGGTTTACAGAGTCAGCATATCGCCCCCACAGTCTGGGTCCTCATTTCACCCACCTCATTTCACCTCAGCCTGGAAGGCTGAGTCAACCTTGAGCCGGTGAGATTTGAACAGCCGAACTGCAGAACTGCAGTCAGCTGAAGTAGCCTGCAGTGCTGCATTTAACCACTGCACCACCTCGGCTCATTTCCCTCATGAAAGGCAGGGACTGGGAAAAGGGCTGGCAGCTCTTAGTCCTGGATGCTGATGTTGCTTGCCTCACCTGGGGAAATACTGCAGGAAGAGAAACCCCCCAATATGAACTTCCCAGAGATGGCCCTTCTTGCACAATGTTCAACATCAGCTTTTGCATTCCACAGACCCACCGCTCTTTCTTGGCCAGACATGGGAATGGCATTGGCCCTGATCGGCCCCAGCCTCTTTAGTACAGAAGGAAGGACGGGCCCTGGGAGACCGGGTGGCTTCCCCTATCCCAAACACCTAGTTCACTGCCCATGAGGCCCCCTGCAACGCTGATTCTTAATTGGCAAGACTTCCCCCCCATTACATTTTAGAAATTTTGCATTGAAGATCTTTCAACAATTAGGAATGAATACATTTCCCATGTTCTCTTTTTAAAATTGGCACTATTTTGGTCACAGTGATATATATTTTTAATTTAAAAAACAGAAATTTCACATAAGAGTTATTTTAAAGATACAGGTTGTCTTCTTTTTATGACCTGTTGCTCAGTAACCGTTTGAAGTTACAACGGACCTATCTGAGGCCTGGGAAATTAAGATGGTCAGCAACTGGGCTGCCCTGACAGTCTTATGCAGCCATGTGACTGCATTTTACAACAGCTTTGCTGAAAACTAGCATTTACGATACTTCTGATTTTTGGGAAAACCATGCACATAGCGAACTGTTAGCTCATATGGGCAAAACCACTGGTTCACTATCGGGGTTTGCTTAGTGATGCCTGCAAAAAGGCCATAAACTCATATGACCCAACCAAACTCATTTTAGAACCATCACAATTTACAACCATCATGAGAAAGCTCCATTACAGTCATAAGTTGAGGACTACCTTTTGCTTAACCACCATATCTATTCAAATTCATAATTTCTTGTCTCTGGGGCCCAGCTATTTTATTCACTATAGTGGCAGAACTAAATTCCCTCATATGTTTTTTTTACATCTAATTTCCGTGTATATTCTTTATTTCTACAAAAGATTCCAATTTTCCACTTCAATTCATCCATTCATTGTCATAATAGTTCTAAAGCCTTATTTGGGCAAATTGCTTAAAAGTGAGCCCCACACAGGTATGCAAGTCTTAAGAGCAGTTCAGGCAATACTTGGTTTAACTGGAGGGAGTCCTAGCTGTGGGACCCTCGCTCAATATCTGCTTAACTCCTTGCTTAATTTACCTTTGCACTTGTGATGGACCCAAATGGAGAGAACTCCTTTCTCAGCTTCTCATCATCAATTGTGTCATCCAAGTTCTTGATATAGAGATTAACTCCCTGAAAAGGGGACAGAGATATTAGCATAAGATGGCATCAGTGCAAAATTTGATGTTTCAATTATGAACAAAGCAGGATTTTCTTTTCTATCAACAAGCACCTCCACACATGCCATTAATTGCAGTCATTTGGAGTTGGTCAGCCTAGACATCTGATAAATAAAAAATTGCAGAATCCAATCTGGGTCAGTCACCGGGACCGCAGGTTAAGTCTTCCAAGCTTTCAGTCTCATGCTGCAGCCCATCCTCAGGGAACTTTTCTCTAGCAGAATGTGAATTCTCTCCCAGATCAGATCCTGCAACATTACCTTGGGATGCATATATTTGTCTTCATTCGTAATAAAAAAATTAGGAACATAATGTCCTTTGTAGAAAGAAACTCTAAATGTTGCAAAGCTGTAGGGACAAGTTTCTTTATAAGAGAATTTGCCTGGATTTGCTGTGCATTTCTATAGCACCATTTGTCCCCAGGCCTGCACTGCAGAGTCAGGATCAGGAAAGATTCAGGTGCCTCTCCCACTAGGCCATTCCTTGGCCCTGCTTCTACTCTCCCCCCTCTCCCCCCCACTGAGGGAGTTTGGGGAGTCCTAAAGGAACTCAAAATTCACAGGGCTGCTAATCCAGCAGCTTCAGCAGAGCGAATTCAAGACCTAGCTTGTCCTAACAACGGTCCCTCAAATGCACACACTCTTTGTAACTTGGGAGTCCTTTCCTTCCTCCAGAGGCAAAATACCTGGTAACGACTGATCCTCTCTTGCTTCAGCTGCTCAAACCTGCGTTTCAGCTCTGCCTGCCGTTCCACCTTCTTCTGTGCACGACCCACAAACACAATTTTCCCATTGAAATCTTTTCCATTCATTTCTTCTACTGCCTGTAAAAGAATTCAAAGCAGCAAATCCCTTGCAGACATGGAGTCTTCCTCAGACACATGATACTTATTATTATTGTTGTTGTTGTTATCACAGCACAATTGTATCACAGCGGCCAGTTATTTGGCCGGATTTGGCATTACTAGTCAGGCCCCACCTAGGGGCCTAGGATGTCGTAACGTATTTTCGTAATACGTGTGCGGATCCAAGCAGTGCGGCTTTTTGCATTTGACTGATGGTGATTTTGTCAATTTTAACTGTTTTAAATGTAATTCCAGTGCTTTTGGAATAGCACCCAGTGTGCCGATTACCACTGGAATTATCAATGCTGGTTTGTACCATAATCATTGAATTTCAATTTTTAAGTCCTGGTATTTTGTAATTTTTTCATATTCCTTCTCATCAATCCTGCTATCA